GTGTGAAACGCAAGGTGCGAGAATGAACAGTGTATCGCTCATCCCCTCTTTTAATATAGTAGTGATTATGTCTAATTTCCTCTTTTTGAATTGTTTCCCTAAATCTAAGCAAATATCAAATCGACATACTTCACCAAACCTACATGAGAAACATAGTAAAGAATTCATCTGGATTTTAATCATAAGAAAAATAATAAGGTTGTTGGTTTGGAAGGAGGAGAAAGATTAGCAATATGAAGAACTTCTCCAGCCACTTACAATGGGACTTATCATATGATCAGCAATTACATCGTCATCAACAGTTTTTACAGAATTCAAAATGATTTAAGTCAATTATGATTCCTTAGAGTGAATTCATTTCCATTTTTCCTTGGCAAACTGAATTTTCTTATACGACATTCTAAATTCAATTCCACATCAAAGTAACACTGGTTTGTCAAATATCCCATCACTATTACAAAGAACAGACTGAATAGGAATTTCCTATGCACTTCTAATTTGCAAACCAAATAAAGATGTTTACAGTTATGTCGAGCAGTACATCAAGATCCGAACAAAAATAATATCTAATAAACAACATAATTTACATTTGACTTTTTTCCTATACCACCAACAATTACCCTGACTTAAAAACCAATTTGTTCCACTGTTGTCCATCTTTATGGCACAAGTAGTTTTACATTGAACATATCATCGTTCAAAGAGATATTTTGAAACAAGTCATTCACGAAAATTCACATTGAAATGCCGCACAAAAACTCCAGCTCTGGTCTCAAATAGAAAACAAAGTCTCTTTAATTGACAGGGTTAAGCCATAAAGATATTCAAGTAAATAACTATCTTTGTTCTCTCTCTTCTTCTTTCAAAAAATGTCAGAAATAGAATCTGCCCTACGTGTCATTGAAGCCTAACAAAAAATTTATACTCCAAGCACTTCAAAGACTAATAATTAATGGTAGACACTTTATTCAAGACCTTTCCTTTCTTTCTGGGTCTGTCCTCTTTTGCTACTATTATCCCATAAACGTGCCTTATATCTATCCGGCTATGCCTGCAGAAACCAGCAGTATGTTAAAGCGAAAATTCTAGCATGGAACTTTTTTTGGACGGTATGTGAAGAAAAAGAACCCAACAGTGTTAGAATCTACAATATATTTACAAGGGTTTGTATGGTGAAATCAAGAAAATACATATACATACAGCATAGATACAGATACAGATAGATAATAGCTAAATAGTGATCTTCAGATGGGTTGGTCGGTTGAGCTGCCGGTGGATTCTTCTCGCTACCTTGTATGGCGAAATGAAGAAAATACATATACATATAACTTAGTTACAGAGAGAGAATAGCTAAGTAGTGACCTTCAGATAGGTTTGTCGGTTGAGCTCCAGCGGCGGTGGATTCTCTTTGCTGCTCATATCGTTTTGGAGGGACCGATCTCCATGTGAGGAAAAGGGAAAGGAAGGAAGAAGAACGGGTTCAAGACACCCCTTCACAAATTCTAAGATTTCAATAATTTTTATGGAATTAAAAAAAAAAAAAAAAACCAAATCACTGTTAATACAAGCATGACAACAATGATAAGATCGAGCAGCTCAAAATATAAAATTAAAAAAATGAAGACGACAAATTTACAACAAAACTTGCCTGATATTTATTGTAAAAACACAGTGGAAGAGAACAAACACTGTCTATTCCATTATAGAGACATGCTTTTAATAGTAGAGAACTCATGTGGGCAACAAAAAATGAGAATTAGTGCATCTTATGAGTAAAACTATAAGAAATGAAAATTTAAGTGCCACAAAAACTAAAATGAACTTATTTCTGTATTTATCAATTCAACTTCCAGTTTATGCCAATTGCAATTTTATGCTTCAAATCTTTCATATAAAACCTTGTGTGCTTTTGAAAAAAAAATGATTTCTGTATTTTATTGATAGTCTTCCACCTTGACATTGATACAGAGCAAAAACGAAGATTCACAAAAAGAACTCGAGGAAATAATAATTAAATAGTATACTCTACCTACCAATGTTCCATACGAAGGTGTCTTGTAAGGCAATTGCTCGGCACACTGAAGAAGGAACTGCATCAATATAACAAAGTAAGTTTTTCAGTACAGATAATATTCAATATTGGAAGTGTATAACTATCAATAAGAAACGCCATCTTCTCTAATTAACTTATAAATACAAAACGCTGCTCAAACAAAACCCACATTAACATGTGCTCTGATGCCTGAATTACAAACAAAAGCATTGGATTCATTCAAAGCATAGAAACAGAGCTATCAACAGCATTCAGTTCAACATATAAAGATATCAAAGGGGGTATTAAAGCCTTGCTCAG